TAGGGTGAGAATCTGCTATTTATATCCAATCTATGTATTATATTAAGCTTAGTTTGTGTTTTTTGTTTATTTGCTAGGTAATCTACTTTGATCTGTGTGCTATCCCTTATAATCACTTAAAATCTATCCTTTGTAGTTAATAAACTTATTTTTGCTTTATCTAAAACCAGTGTGTGGGAATCATGACTCGGGGCAGAAAGCTGTTACATATCCCTCTCCACATTGAGGGAGGGGGTGAATTTTATGAGCTTATGCAGTACAGTTCCTTGTGCAGCATAAAACGGTATAATTTTGGGTTTATACTCCAGAGGCGGCATATGCCTTAGGAACTGGGAGGTGCCCTACCTGGAGCCTTCCCATGCAGGGGCTGGTCAGAGCATCTGCATGTAACTGCAGCTGGGTGTGTCCCTACCTGTATGTGTGCTGGTGAAAGTAGAGGCTGGAGCCTGGAGACGGCTTGGCAGCTTGTCACAGCAGCACAGTGTAAAAGGGAGCCCAGGCTGGTGGGTCAGGGGGGCTCAGTGGTACCCCAGTTCCAGGAGGCATCCCGGGGGGAACCAGTCACAAGGGGTTCTCAAGCTTAATTGATCATACGCCCCTTCTTTGTGTCTGTAGTAGTTTACACCACCTCCTCCCCTGCCACACAAGTACATACTGATAAAAAAAACAACAACATGCAACTTTCACTAAATATTAAAACCAGTAAGGCATTGATTCAAACAGAGCCAACTATCCATTGTAATAAGAGCAAAAAGCCAAGCTGCAATTGTGGTCAATGCTTACAATTAAATGTGCACATTGCGTCACAGCAAATGGATTAATGTACAGATGGCAACGACTTTGTATAATGCTATGCAAGCTTAACAGAAATCCACCAAAATGCACAGCACCATCTAGATGCATAGCGCCATCTGAGGACCTGATATGTCTGGACGAATCAGCGTTGTTAGTTATTCATTGCTGTTGGTAAAATGTGCACCATCCTATTTTTCCCCCCTAAGCTTCTCATACCTCCCCCCCCCCCGAATACATGCCACCCCTCCCCAGGGGGGCCTGTCCCCCCAGTTTGAGAATCTCTGATCTAGAAGAAATAAAATTGTATTTGCTTTAGTCTAGAACAGCCAGAAGGACCTAAAGCCATTTAAACGGAAGAGAAAATGGCAAATCTTAATTGGTTGCACTGCAAGTCTCATTGCTGTCCACAACAGAGAGCTGTAGACTGTGAGAAGAAATTCACACAAACTCCTGGGAACTTCACATGAAGTGTATTTTCAGTAACTGAAGCTTGTTGGCCCTGCTTTTATGGCCATGTCAGTGGAGTTCACCAGACAGGTTTGCAGAAGGCAGACAACCTTGGCGGGAGATAGGGGAGCCTAAGGGAGGAATCTTGTATCTGCAAGAAGCTTAGGAAAGGTGAAAAAAGTCAGCAGTTCTACAACTGGCATAACAGTGAATTCCCATGATAGAGAAAGACAGATACGTGACTAGTCTTCACTGTAGTGTTAGCTCAATTCATAATTCAAATATTACCCCAACCTGACTCCCATCCACACATAAAGATCTCTAGCTCAAATTAAGTTTTGGTTTAAACTAGGTTCAATTACTCCTGGGGAAATTCTGTGTCACTGTGCGTGCGCACATTTCATGTGCTGTGCATATTTTTAATTTTTTGTTGTTGCAGAAAATAGCTTCTGCTGAAAAGTTGCTACAGTTCTGCCTTTTGCCCACAACAGGATGCTGTGGCACTAGAACACAGCAGCTCCTCCCAGCAGAAAATAACTTCTGCAGTTATGCCTTTTGCCCACCAGAGGTCACTGTGGTGCTAGAACACAGCAGCCGGGAAGAGAAAGAACCTGCCTTCTTCACCGCACCTGTCGGACCAGGTCAGGAGATATGGGGAGTCAGAGAGCATGAGGCTGCTGGGGGTGTGTGTCAGACAGGGACTTATAAGGGCAGGTGGGAGAGGACAGACTGAGGCAGAGACACATGGAGATGAGGGAAGGGGGCTGGTTGAGGGGGTGCAGGGACATGGAGATATGGGAGGGGGCTGGCTGAGGGGGTGCAGGGCCACATGGGGACAGGGGGAGTGAGTGTCTGAGTAGGGTGGAGGGACACATGTCGACAGGGTGTGCAAGGACACATGGGGTGCAGGGACACACAGGGATAGGAGTAGATGTGCCTGACTGAATGGGAGAGGCTAGGGGTCAGCCAACAACCCTTCAAGTTCATATCCATGTTCCTTCCCAGCAATTACTTCCCTCTCCCTGATCTCCTCAATTATCCCTGACTCCCCCAAGCCTTTGCACAACTTCTGAGGGGTGTGGGAAATACAGTTCTGTACTATAGTTGAAATGAATAATTACTCAGAGTTCTGTATTAATATGCCTAAGAAGGAATCTATTTGTCAAAAAACATTTCCTGAATCTTTTTTATTGTCCGTATTGTTACAAACATACTTGTTGACAGATATTTTGAAATTAATTAGCAAAATAATTGAAAATGTGTGATTATATTGTGTTATTCTGACAAGTAAAATATGAAGAAATGTAAAATATTGTGTGAATAATTTTGGATTTTTTGGCGCAGAATTCCCCCAGGAGGATTCAATTCTTTGCTCTTCCATGGACTTCCTGTGTGACCCAGTGCAAATCACTTAGCCTCCCTGCCCCTCAGTTTCCCCACCTATAAAAAGTGGATTATAGCACTTGCCTACTTCACTGGGAAGTTGTGAGGATAAATATATTAGAGATTGTAAAGTGTTTTGAGATCTACTAAGGGAAAGTGCTATATAAAAGAGAGAGACATTATCATTATTATTAAACACTAGCTGGCTCATCAGGGTGTGGGTTGAAGCTTGAGTGCTGCTGGAGCTAGTAATGAAGTGGGGCTAAGCCATTCTGTGCTGCTAATATAATCACTCTGTGCTGCTTCAGTGTTATTTTGCTGTGGGTTCTGCTCTCACTGGAGCTAAGCTAACTCAAGAGGAGTTAATCGGAGTGAAAACGAGCCCGACAGATAGCTGTGAATGCAGAACAAACTGAAGACAGAAAAGAGGAAATAAGAAAGATGAAGGACTGTCAGGATTAGGAACTGGCCCATTCTTTGCAAGTAAAAAATAACAAGTAGAAGCTCACTCCAAATCTTAGATTATTCCCTTCCCTTTGAAAATCAGAGTGTAAATTTGTCATCAGTTTTCCCTATTCAATTCATGTAATCATGAAATAAGAATCTCAGAGCAGCACCATTATCCAAAAGTTCAAAAAGATCAGCTAAGAACATGTATGTTGATTCTTCTCCACTGGGAGGAGTTGATGTTATTTTTCCATTTAAAACATTTCAAAGGGAGCATAAAATGTAATAATTTTAAAGATCAGAGTGTGCAAACAGAAAAGTTAGTTGGCAATTCATTACATTTGGTTTTGGTATTTAATACAGCACATACCATTTTCACAACAGACAGAAACAAATTCAAATACACTTTGTATATTTTTCTCTCCCATCACCTTTCCAGACTCAAAATAGTTTCATAGAAGGCAATAGTAACATGATATATTAAACACTATTCTGTAACTACTGTACTATTTTAAGGCTTTCATAACTGGAGCTAATAAATGTATAATAAAGGACGAAGAGCCTTTTCAACAGGTGCTGAGATCCAATCCAATTTAAGATGAAACTTTCCTGGTTTTTACTGAATGTTGTGGTTTTCAAAGGTCAGAACAGGAGACAAATATTTTAATACACATTAACTTTAGGACTTAGAAAAAGTGTTATCAGACACTTACTAATCAGTAAACAAATTTCCTAATCAGAGACCATTACAAAGGACTGGAGACCCCACCAGCAAATCCAAGGACAACCCCCTATGAAAAGCCCAATCCAAATCTCAGATGCTGGAAATGGGGAGGGTGATGGGATTCCTACCAAGTTGCTATCCCTAGACCATGCTAGTGCCTACAAATAGTAGTGTGGTTGTGGCAGCACGGATAGCAACACGGATATTTTTAGGTGCTAGTTGGAGCAGAACTAATTCATGTATGTCTACCCATGCTGGGAATCACACTTCCAGCTGCTGTGTAGACATAACTCTGGATGCTGCAAGGTGGCAAAATGTCTATGTTATCTTAAACCCAGCCCCCATTTTTTTCCATTTCTCCTCCCCTGAGAATAGTTTTAATAGACAGAAGCAGGTATTCACAGATTTCCAAAGGCAGGGCAGCATGAAATTGACATGATTCTTGTCAATTCACTAGCTAACTGTAGTGAAAGTTATCAGTGTTATTAATCCAAAAGAATAAAATTAAATATCTAGATTTTACAAAACATATGCCAAAATTTGCTCTCATTTACAGCACTGAATTCATTAAAGTTACTCTGGTGCAGTGCTTAATTACCACTCTTGTCAATGCTGTGCCTATCATATAAAAATAGATATCACAGCAATGCAAAGTGTTGCTCTCTGCATGCTACAACCTAATAAAATAATTGTTCCCTTAATATTCAATTTATAGAACTACAAATTGAGGGCTGGATCCTACCAAGCCTTGCTCGCTCGCATGAACAGTCGAATTGACTTCAGTAAGACTAATTGTTAAGTAAGGCTACTCCTTGCCTGAGGAGGTTGTGAAGGCTAGGATTATAACAGGGTTTAAAAGAGAACTAGATACATTCATGGAGGTTAAGTCCATTAATGGCTATTAGCCAGGATGGGTAAGGAACGGTGTCCCTAGCCTCTGTTTGTCAGAGGGTGGAGATGGATGGCAGGAGAGAGATCATTTGATCATTACCTGTTAGGTTCACTCCCTCTGGGGCACCTGGCATTGGCCACTGTCAGTAGACAGGCTACTGGGCTGGATGGACCTTCGGTCTGACTCAGTATGGCCGTTCTTATGTTCTTACTCACATGCAAAAGAGCTTGTAAGTCCAGGCCCTTCAATTTCTAGGTTGGTAACAGCTGTTAAATAAATACATAAAAAGTCTAGCAATAGTTTAACACTTACGCTTCCACAGTTTTTCTGACAGTCTGTTCATCACAATCTTCATCTGAGCTACTGCAAGTAGCATCAGAGTCCAGATCTTTCTCCACATGAGACAGCAGCCCTGTAGCAGAGTGTGCAAAACCCCAGATTTCACCAGGTTCAATGCCAACTCCATTCTGTGTTTCTTTATTTGAATTATTTTCCAAGTTAGTTATACTGTTTTCTGCCCGAATTTCAGTGCATCCAAGGGAGCTACTGTCCAAAACTCTGGTTGAATCATGAAAAACTTTCATTCTTTGGAGCTGATGTTTCACAAAGCATTTCAGCTGGTGATCACAGTGTTTGACAACATGCTTTGCCAGGAGTATCTGTAAACGTTTCTGAGCTCTTTTGGCTCGACTGAGCACAACTTGTTGCTTACTGACACATTGAAGTAAGCGAGCATTCAACTCCTCTTCTTTACTAGTGGGGGTGCAGCGCACAATTGCTTTCAAAGGCTCATGCACAACTTGATGCAATAAATTCCTTTTTTTGGTCTCAGCATGTACTAGTAGACCCTTATCCAAAAAGCCATTCTTCCGATACCATTTACAGTTTGTAAGCTGCATTTCTTCCACATTATTGGATTCAGTTACATTTGAATCCAACAGTCTCTGCATTTCTGCCAAACTCTGGGTCATGGTCTCCGATAAAGTTTCCCCTCTGACCTGCTCTTCAGGTTCTGAATTATTAATCTGACTGACCTGTGTGGTAGCACCATTATGTAGTAGATTTCTCATCTGGGAGCACTTGTGCTCTTCTGAATTCCTTTGCTTAGTGTTTTTGTTTTTTATGTTTAATGGAGAATTTGTGCTCATTAATAAGACAGACTGATAATGTCTGGAAGACTGTGGAGAACCAAAGTGTTTTACACTGAAGATATCATTACTGAGGTTGGGCTCAGTAGTGGGAAACCCCAAGACTGAGCAAGTAATCTGTGTGATGGAATCCTCCTTTATCGTCTCTTCGACTGCTCTGGAATTTTCCATGCACAAAGTTGTATCAGACTCCATAGCTCTAGAGGACAAAGAAGGTGACAAGTGGATACCATGACCTTTTGTTGCTGGCTCTCTGAGGGCTGGTGTCATTATAGCTATTGTAGATAGTTTACAGCAAACCTGAAAATAACAGGGGATATATAAATTGTCTAATTTTTAATTACAATATACAAATAAAAGACCATTCAATGTAATTTTTTTTTATTCTTTTAAAATCACTTTACACCTACCCAACTAATGCAAATTCATCTGACCGACAGGGCCTGACTGGATTCCCTAAAGAGCCAAACAAGGTCAGTTTTTCAGTATTGGACAGGGCTTGTTTCTAATGCAATAAAAGGCTTCCCCTTCCAGCAGAAGTTCTTCACTGTGGGCACCTTCCCAACTGGCCAGCTCCTTAGGTTCACAGGAGCAGGGCTTCTCTGTTGTGCTGATTAGGAGGAGAGAGTCTATGGTCAGCTTGAGGACTTGGGCAAGCTGAGACAAGACAGTGGCAGGGAGGTTAAAAAACCCATGAGAAACAATAGGTTTGTTGACGAGGTGACTATAAGGCAGTGGTCCTAGTTTATTCCCTTCTTTTAGGAGTTCCATTGGATGCCTTCTCCACTAGCCTCCCTCTACTGTCTTCAGTTTCATTGGCCTTCACAGCCATTGCCTAGCTCACTTCTCCTTAAGTCTTGGGTCTTGTCACATAATTTAAGTCTGAAGGGCCACATAATCATCTCACCGTTCCTTTGTGCTCCCTCCCATCTATTTGTTGTCTCCACCTGTTGTCTTCCTTCTTATATGGGGTTGTACACTGCCTCACACATTGAGACCCTGTTCAGGGGGCCCTTGGTGCTACCACCATAGGAATAAATAAATAAATAAATATTAAAATACAAGCTTTAGCTTTGGAGAATGAGATATTCTGTTGTCTACACCTATTGTTAGTCCACTCTAACCACTGCCCTCCCCTGAGGAGGGTGGCTATAAATCCTGACTGGGGCTCAACAGAACACCTGTTATAAGCGACTGCCTGGGAGATGCACTGAATCAGAATCCAGGCTGTGATTTGGGCCCTGAATCTCCAGACTTGTCAACATTTTTAGTAAAGGGCTGAGATGTGATTTCTCTACATTCTTCTTTTAGAGCTACAACATTAAAATGTTTAAAAGTAATTAGTCTTTACAACATTAAGTCCATCATAACATTGTCGGACATATCCTTTAATTTGGGGGTTTGGGAGATTAGTTTTTTTCCCTGACAAGCATGTGAAATAACTGTGATAAGTGGAAAAGATGTAGATGGAGGTGCTAAAAGTTAAAGCAGGGGCAGAAGTCAGGCTTCCTACAGAGTTTACAAGCTTACTAGAGCCCCAAAGGGAGTCCCCACATTAGACCTTCTTTGAGCTCTCAGCAGAGGATTTCTTAAAAGGACATGGTCAACTTGAAAACTAGTCTATTTAATACAGCAAGTTTAAAGCAGTTTCAGCTACTATACTTGCCCCTGAATCCAACCTGCCGATTTGTGCAGTTTTATAATTACATCTTCCTTTTCTAAATAAAATATCCTCCTCCACTGCTGTGAAATACCCATATAAAACAGCAGGGAAACTGACTACACACAAAGAGCAATCAAACGCACAAAGTAAACAAACTGAAAAAAAAATCCATATATACCTATATACTCTAAGGTGCTATTTGGAACAACATAGTACAAAATTTTCACACAGAAATGTGATGTTTGAAACTGATCATGTCCCTTTAAACAACACATCCTTCCACCTGAGCTGCAAACTCCCTAAATTCCAACAAATACAATTCAAAATTTTTCATAGGTTTGGGAAAAAACACTGAAAACTCAAACTAATCCATCAAGCGTGACCAAAGTAGCGGAAGGTAATACTCCTGATGGAGGACAATGTAAAAAAAAAACAAAACAAAAAACAAAACAAAAAACCCCACAGATTTGGAGTTCCTGAAGCAAGCTGCTTGAGTTACAATGTGGTTAAAAATGGTAGAAAATCATTTTCAAAGGAGAAAACTCCAGATTTTTCAAACTGTCAAAGCTGATCGACACCTTGTCCAATAACCCTTTCAGGTTATTTGTTTTGTTTTTGTGGAGTCAGAATTATAAACCAGTATACTTCCAACCATAACTATGGAGAGTTTAGTATCTCTCCATAACATGCATTGAAAACAAAGACAGCCTTGTCAGTGATATAGGACTGAAACAAAGCATCATCCACAAGACTAAACGTTCTTCATTAAAACTGTCTCGAGCTCCACAGAAACTGCCCATTTTTCCTTTTGACAAGTTTGGGGTATTTTGTTGCATTCTGGCATCAAGTAGTAAAAATAATTTCACTCCACCCTCATTGGAAGCAAACTGCTATGGCCAAGCCCTTTGCTTCTCACAAAGAAGCAAGTACTGTAATATGATGTTTATGAAAAGGCTGAAATCTTACACTGGAAAGAGCTTTCTTGTCAAAGGTAATACTTTCTGAAGATATTTTTCCATTGTCTAATACTTTAGGTTTCCAAACTAGAGCAATAAAAATTCTACTAGACTAGCAAACAAGTTATTTTTAATTATTTGAAGTTCAACTTTCATTTAACTGTTGGTTTTTGACATTGAGAATCTGATTTAAAAGAAAAGAAAGGAGTGGGAGAAAATTTTTGTTTAAAGAAACAAAAGTACCGTATATGCACAGTAGAGCAACTAGTGTTTAAAGTGACTCTATGTTTATCCTCACTAGAGCCTTAATTACACAGTAAGATGTAGCCAGGAATTTCAGTTTTGTATACAGCGTAAGTGCCCCGTTTGAGCCACACCCTTGCATCTACTATAAACACACACAAAATAACATTTTAAAAAACTATTCTCCAATCCCCCTAAAAGTCACTGTTCTTCAATTCCTCCACACCCCACCAAATGCTACTTATCTTCTACTCCTCTCTCACTTTTGTCTTATTTTCTTTCCCCATCTTTTCCTTATTCCTTTACTTTTCTAATCCATTCCTGACCTCCCTCTTTGAGACTCCCTTGGCTTTCTATTTTCAAATGTGTTTAAAGGGATGCATTCAAAACTTAAGTAAAATGTCATGTTGGTTACTAACACCATCTTGGATTATTAAAAATAAAGAACTTTTAAAATCCATTTACTTTTACCTGTGGAAGATATTGGTTTATTTTGGGTATTTTTCTCAGAAGAAGCAATGTAAGCAGTCTGGTCAGTTTCACTTTTGTTTATAGCTACTTTCACTTTCTGATTCTCATGAACTTACATAGTTCCACAGACTTTTGTTCCACATTTCAGGAAAACCTTTGAATAGTAATGTTTTACTGATTTTTTTAAAATGAAAGAAAATTTCTATTCACAATGGAGTCCTGTAAACCCCATCTGTGCACTCCTACCTTTCCTACCACATTTTGAAATCAAATTATAAATTTTTAGACTCAAACTAGCCTGCTTAAAGGGACACTATCAACTTGACAACTTCTTTTCTCTCTTTTGTACCTATCTTATTTACCAGTAACACTTCAAGTTATAACAAAGATTAAAGAAAAAAATATTTTCAGTTCATTTACGTTTTGAAATCGGCAGTATTTAATGTATAGAAACTTACAGTGTTTCTTCTACATGAGTTGGCATTTTTAAAAGTGAGAAGACATTTAAAAAAAACAGGAAAATGAGACTGTAAAAACAAAAGTTTGCAGGCGGTAGGGCCTGGTGTAATATCCAAACCCACATTTAATACGTTTGAAATGACTAGAATTCAAGTTGATAGTGTCCTTAAGACCTGTTCCCGAAAATCATAATTCAAGCACTAGCCGCTTAATCACTGGGACTCCTTGAAGGAGTAGGGGTTTGCAGAAACCATGACTGAAGAGATGCTGGCCCAACAGGATGTCCTGGTTAAAGTTACGAAGGGCAAAGAGAAGTCCACACTTAACCACTTGGGACTGTACACTGATCTAAAAGAAAAGGTATAATCCTGGTCAGCAGCTTTTGTTTTTTGTTCAGAAGCAGCACAGCTATTATATGAATATGTAAACATTTTACGATTTTGTTTTATTAGTAACTCTGAAAAACAGGGCAAAGTGGGGAGTCTCTGTTTCCAACAGCTCTTACCCTCAGGGATAGCTCAGTGGTTTGAGCAGTGGCCTGCTAAACCCAGGGTTGTGAGTCCAATCTTTGAGGGGGCCACTTAGGAATCTGGGACAAAAAATCAGTATTTGGTCCTGCTAGTGAAGGCAGGGGGCTGAACTCAATGACCTTTCAGGGTCCCTTCCAGTTCTATGAGATAATATAATATATGGAGATATACCTATTACTGTGCAGTCAGTACTATACAGGGGAGCTGCGAACTCAAGCATTATGTACTCTCCAGCAGTTCTACATCAAAAAATTACTCATCTTTGAAAAACATACACCTACAGTGGTCTCTCTGTGAACACAAAGGGAACTCAATTTACAACAGACCACCCACACTGTTTTAATTACACAAAACATCAAAAAGGACATACTTCAACTGGAACTCATTACTATTCATTCATGATAAATCCATAACTTATTAAAAGCTGTGAATGGAGAATATTTTTCCCCTTGTTCCTCAATGATACTGAAGCCAGGAGCATATGTTATTCCAATATTTCAACGTGTATCACCCCTCTATCAGTTAGTTCAGATGTTCTAATATTTAATGTATTTATTTAATCATTTATTTGTAACAGAACATTTAATATAATAGATTTTTTTAATCTATCATGCTAAAAGTAGGGTGTTTTTGTATTAAATGGATCACTCAAGGCTCAACATGTTATACATATGTCTCTAATATAAATATTTTATTTAATTCTAAGTGCATTACAAGCTCCATAAAGAAACTGTATGTGATTATTTCAATTATCCCTTTGAATCAGTCAGCCTCTGAAGAGGTTCCATAAAATGTTTTTTAAACAAGACCAATTTAGTGCTTATTCTCTTCTTAACACGTGGAGACTTTATACTTGCAATTCTATTAACATTCATGGGAGTTCCCAATGCGGACCAATGGGATGAACGAGCCTTTAGGATGAATAGATCAGTCTTCTATGTTTATGTGCTTGCTCTCTCAGGGACATCATAC